AAAGCAAAAGGCCTGGGTGCCAAATGTCCCCTTTGAAGAGGTTTTGTCCTCTGGACCCTCTCACTTCTTGGCTTGAGATGTCTTTAATTTTTGGCTGTTCCCAAAAACAACTGCAACAAAGAAAGTAGCAAGAAGGAAAGTCTTATCACCCCCTATCACCCTGCTCCTTTATTTTTGTGTGTGTTTGATTTCACTGTTTTATTTCCATGTTGGCTCTTCCTTGTCTTTTTGTGGGCCTTTCAGGTAGGGCCAGGGAAAGACAAGCTTTGGAAAAAAACAGGAAAATGTTATGCCGAAACGCATATCTGCAAGGAGACCCAGGCAGATGTCAGCCCTAAAAGTGCATTCAGTGCCACTGTGCTCCTTTCGAATCCCTGCAGGCCCTTTGGGAGGGCACAGGGACAGCTCTACAAAAAACTCTGGGAAGAAAAGATGCAGGAAGTATTGTGAGCGTGCTTACTTGTAAGAGGGCAGGGGACCGGGAACCAACCTGAGAGGTTCCTTCATTTCCCACGGTTAGGCCGTGTGGTTTGCCACCTGCCTGGACACTGCCCAGCCTGGCAGGTGCAACCTGGTGGAGGGACTGCAAACGGTAAATAGGTTTGCAACAACATGGACATTAAGATCCCCCGTAGTTCCCTTTATCACCTCCTAAGAGCGACATTGCAGTGTAGGACTGCAGAAATGAACACATCTAGGATCACACAGGTGTTTAATTTTAACCTAGGCTCTTAATCCCTGTTTTGGGGATTAAGGATAGTCTTGCTGCTCCCCACGTATCCCAGTACCCTGTGCCATTCAAGGCTTGTGCAGAGCAGTGTCCTCCCTGCTGTTGGTCTTATGCCCAGTTTTTAAGAATCAGAGCTCGTGGCAGAGGTGATATCTTTTATTACACCAACTAGATATTTGCAAAAAAAGTCTTTATTTGCAAGCTTTTGGTCACGCTCGCCCTTCCTCAGGCATAGGAGAATACAAAGATTGTAAAATTTTTCCTAGGCGGAAATGAAAATTCATACTTCACAGGAGAGCGGAGGGTGTTATAAGATCTCCTGGATGGAATAGCTTTTAAGATGCATCTAAAAAAGCAGACCTGCGCGGTTTTGAGAGCAACCATAATATAATGCGAAGGTTGAATGTCAGCTACACGGGCAGAGGCGCCATCCTCCGGGCATCATAACTGTGCACAGAGCAGACAAAGGTCTGCTTTAGAAAAAAATGATTTTTCACTGAAACCCATTTTGTAAAACAAACTATCGTTAAAATTAAAATTTGAAATTGCTTATCTACAGTGAGGCCTAAATTTCCTACGAGGAAATTTCAATCCGGGGAAAAGAATTTCAGTTAAATTTTAAAAGTGCAAGTGTTGAAAGCTTGGGTTGAAGTTTCAAGGAAGTCAGACTGCTGCCGGGGAAGACGTCGCTGTTTGGAGTGATCTGCCTCCTCGTCTCCACCGCTCTTGAGCCAGTTCTGCTCTGGGGCCAGCTCAGTTGCAGACTGGGAGGTAGCAGCAGGAAAGCTGGTTTTCTTCTTCCGATTTGTCAAGGGGGGGAGGGGGTTTCTAAATATACAGGACACTAATTCTAACCTCTTGGCAGAGACTGCGAGCAGAAACACTCGGAGCAAATCACATGTTTATTAAAACATGAAAAACATGTTTTAATAAAGCAGCACGTGCTATGATTTTTAACTGAATAAACAGTTTTAAACTCTTGTTCCTGTGTATTTTTAATTAAATTTCCATCTAAATGCAGCATATCACAATTCATGAGTTAAAAAAAAGAACATTCTGTAGGAAGTAAAGCCTTTATTTACCACGTGAGCGGTGTTGTAAAAGGTGCAATATTTAGCACTGCATAAATGTATGTTAAGATGGATAATGGCTTAAACAGATATTGTGTTCCTGGTCAGCAAAAGTACTGATTTTAGTATAAAGCCTATCTGTAATTGGAAACGTGTGACCAGTTACCAGCTGGCAAGAATCAACCTTTCTTTAAGAAAATAGCTGAAAACGACAAATGCAAAATGAGATTGAGATCAATAATTGAAATAAAGGCTTGCTGATCTCAGTCAATCCGCTGCAACTCTGCATCTTCATACTTTTAAATGAGCAGAACTCCAGGCATTTTACTTCAGCTCTGGGTTTCTTGGATTTTATTATTGCTCCTTTTATAACCGCAGTGTGCTTAGCGAGACGTTTCCCCCCCTTCAGTAACTGATGCTGCGCTAAACCTTAACTCCTGTTTAACTAAGTTTGTCTGGGAATTCAATTACGTGCTGTTGCAAATATGTTGGCAGCATTAATAATTACACTCCAGGCGTTTTCATAATTTATCATAATGACTCTTATTACATATTATAGATGTATTCCTATTTCCCTCCTCCCCCCCCCCCAAAAGATAATATAATTGAGGTTGAAGCAGATTGTAAATGCTGATAATATAGATTGCACGCTCAGAGGAAATGGAGTTGGTTTCATGGTGGAGTTTTAATTTAGAATTTGTTCTGGTGGGGTGGTTTCTTCCTATGGTACGTTACTTCGCATCTGACAAAGCGCGGGCTGCCATAGCCCATCATTGCAGCCACAGTCTCGTTGCTTTTTTAATTTAAAAAAATGAGAGGCAGAGAAATGAGAGCCTGAAGTCTGGGGTAAGACATACAGGGGGGCATACGAAGCAAAAGCTGTCTTTTCTCAAACTCTTCCAGGGCTCTAGAAGTCAGGCCCAATTTCCAATGGAAATCACCAGGGATCCTGGTTTTCTCTGACTTAAAAGATCCCCAATTTTCATTTTTTTTTTTTTTTTAAAAAGGTAACCCCAAATTCACATTTTTCCATGCTTAAAATGAAATGCCACTAATATATTGATCTATCTATATAGCAGTGTTTCATTTTAAGCATGGAAAAATGTGGGTTTGGCATTCCTTTTTTTCAAAGCCAGAAATTGGGGATTTTTTTAAATCAGAGAGAACCAGGATCCCTGGAAATCACTTGCCGGGCTGGTGTGAATGAGTGGAGCTGCTCTGCCCTTACGATTTCAGCTTTAACCTTGGGGGCGAAGGGGGCGGTTGAATCGGTATGCTTCCCTCTGTGTGGGACAGCACCGGGGGCGACTATTTAGGGCTTGTGCTCGGCACATCTGTTTACCTCGGCTTCTCCCTGCGGCGGTGTTAGCGAGAAGAGCATCTTTATTTTGGTTTTACGCTGAGTGTTGCTAATTGCTAGGGGAGCGTTCGAATTACTGTCTGCTGGAGACAATATGTTGTTCCTAAGTTGATCCGTGCGGCGTTGTAAGCCGTTACCGTGCCCTGAAGACATGTAAGGGCATGCTTTTTTGGTTTTTTTTTGCTTTTTAAATTAAAAAAATAAATAGCATCCAGTCCTGCGGATGCCAGAATGGTCTACAGCGGCGTACACGCGTTTGTCACTTCAGCAGCTGTTGACATGCTGATGGGGACGGAGGGAACCTCGGCTCTAAACCTGGCGCGTAACGCGGCCCGCGGGCTGCGGGGCGACGCTGGCCGCGGGCGGAGCGGCGGGGGAGTATAGCGTTGAGTAGCGTGCTGAACGCAGCTGGCAGGACGCCAGGGCTTAGCGCTTGCCAGCACCGTGCTGCCGTCTCTCACGTTGAAGCTCTGCCAACCTGGATTTTGCAGCCCATCCAAGCAGTGCAGTTTGCACTGGTTTAAACTAAACCAGTTTAGTTTAAACCGGTTTAGTTTAAACCAGTGCAGTCTAAAGCAGCCCCTAGTTGGGCTGCTTTTATGTTCATCTAAAAAGCAAAGCCGGCTCCTGCGCAGGCCTGCTCCAGTGCCCGCGTGCGCGCTGTGTCGGCAGGCGTGCTCGCACTGACTCGTCTTTCACTGGTATATACAGGACTGAATGAAAAGAAATGAGCTGCTCCCTGGCTTTGCCTCTGAGCTGGTCTGTGGTGGCGCGCTCCTTGTAATCGGAGTCTCAGCAGGTCTTGCCTTCTGAGCCGGGAAGAATGAGCATCCCCTTCCCGGGGGCTGGAGCTCCTCGCCAGCTGGGGAGCTGCAGAGGCCCGCTTTGAAGCCAGTGCTCTCTGGGGACCTGGCAGGAGCAGCGCTCTCGCCCCTTCCCTCTCCGCCGCTGATGATTTGTGATTCCAGAAGAGTCGGGCTTGCAGCGCGGCAGCAGCTGCCATGTTCTTGGAAGTGGCATGTGACATTCGAGGTGGCAGATAACGACCGCAAAGCAGATCTGCGCCTTCCTCACTGTGCCTTTGGATGGCTGACGAAGGCCGGGGGGGGGGCGCGTTGAGAGCAGATGTTAGCTTGCTGTGGTGTAATAAAATGTTAGGCTTTTCCTCCTCCGCTCAGCATGAAAGATCGTGGCTGAGAGACGAACTCGCAGGGTGTTTGTTTCCTTAGTCCGTGCAACCCGCACTAGAGCAGCTGGACGGCGAAGGGATTTTTGCTTCCCTTTAAAAGCCATTTTTTGTTAATGCCGGCCACCAGTTAAAACAATTAGGAGCAGAACCCGCTGCGGTTCTTCAGCATAAAGTGGAGAGGTTTTATTCCCATTTCCTTGTCCTGCAAAAGACAGGGGAGATTCATTTTAATATTTCTCTTTTTGCCAAGGCAAGAAGTCCCAACAACAAGCCCTTTGGGGCTTTCCAGATGCACCTTAAATGAGGAAGGAGTGCATGTTCTTTCTTGTTCTTGGCAGGTTATCTTTCATCTTTAATTTTGCCTAGTGACTACAAACGGTGGATGAAAACAAGCAATCGCAAGCAACCCCTAGTGTGCACATGTTCTGCCTAGGATGGGGGGTCCATCTTCTGCAGAGCTGCACTGAATAACAGTACTGCGCTTGGTGTGCAGATGCAGGGCCTAATCTGCATTCGTTGTGTCCCCAGACTCCCCTGGTCTTTGGGGGGTGGTATTAGGGTACACAGAAGAATTGGGATCTGAGCTGGGAGAGCTGTGGGGTGTGTGTGCAGCACTGGACACTTTAATGAATTGGCCTTTACCTGTAAAACATGAAGGTACATGGGAATTTGCTCATGAGAGATCGCCTCTGGGAACCAAGGACTTGCAATCAGTTTGTTTCACAACCCCAGGGTCGGGTTGCTCTGGCCAGCGCTCAGATTTGAAGTACCGGCGGCTTTTTTCATGATGCAGATATTTGCTGTGGTTGTTGTTGGAGGGTCAAAGCAGGTAGGACATTGTCACAGCTCCTGCCGGTGCCATTCATCTAGTTCTGTGAATTGAATTAATTTCCCTTCCAGTTTTCCAAGCGGGTGAATGTATTGTAGGCAGATCTGCAATTCTGATCAGCTGCGTGCAAAACAAGCAAGCTCTGTCATCGGGATGCAAGCCACCCCCAGGGGCAAACCTTCTCGAGTCGCTCGCTCTGTTCCCACATGCTGTTTCTCTCACCTTAGCCCAACAGGGGGACGAAAAGACCCCGCGACGAGGAAGAGGAGGAGATCAAAGCCCGGCGGAAGCAAGTCGGCTCGCGGGAGCGCACTCGGCATCGGGAGGAGGATGTCGCGGCTTTGGAGGAAGCTGACGATGAGAAGAAGAAACTCCTTCAGATAATGGACAAAGAGGGAGAGGAGGAGGAGGAGGAGGTTGGTTGCCGATGCTCTGCAGGGAGGGGTTGTCTGCCAAGGGCAGCAGCGTCTGTTCAAAGCAGAGGGGTTTTCACCCTGGGACTTTCAAGGGAAGAAGAAGGTGCTGTAGAGTTGTCTGAATCCAAAGCTGGCTTTTCTGGAAGGGAGGGGAGAGCTAAAAATACTTCTGTGCAGGTGTGGAGGGAACGTTTGCAAATAATATCTCTTTTAGTCTGAAACAGCTTGACTCTTCTCCTCAGATTTCTGAGGGGGGAAAAAGCCTCAGGCTTCTAATTAGTTTTCTAAATCCATTACTCTCGTCAGTACTCACAGCCACACAGCTTCAGCCGCCCTCCCCTCGCGAGGTCTGCGGCAGCAGCAGCAAATGAGCAAACATCCTTCTACAGACGAAAGGGCTTGGGTCAGCGGAGTGGGGTAGCAGCTGTCAAGGGTAAATGATTTCAAGCCCAGGAGACAGGAATCCGATACAGGACAGGCCCTTCTGCCAAAGGGCAAGGAAAAGATCACTTTATAAATGTGACGTGCAGATTGCTATGAATCCTGGAGCTATTTGCTTCCTGCTACCTCTGTCCTGTTTGATGGAAAGCAAGTGATATTCACTGCTGCAGTCACGTGGGTTTGTAAAATATCATTGTCCTTCATGTACAGCATTGCCAGCATTCATCTCCCTGAAATCTCCCTTTAGTTTCTGATGTTGAGCTATTGCCGCTGCTGCTGCTGCTGATGCCTGAGACAGATAATGCAGGATTTCCCTAGCGTTTGAGCCTGAGGATGAATGGACAGAAGCAAATGCCCAGTTGACTGGCTAGGATCGGAGAGTCTTTGCGGCAGGGTGTGCGAGTGCCCTGCTCCTCTCTGCCAAGAGTGGCCCCCTCCAGGCAGCCTGCCTCCGCTGTACCTGGTGGTGCCAGACCTTCAAGGTCACTTCCTTGGACCGCAGTTCACATCAGTGCCGCTAGGAAACATTTCAGGTGCGGAGCAGATGCTCTCACGTATACACAGGCCTCATGGAAACACATCTCGCTAACTTGACTTTTTAATCTGAAAATGTTCTCCAGCGAGACTTCCACAGAGCTTCCTCCAGGACCTGTTATTCATTACATTGCTGTATCGTGTCTTGATCTGGGCCCAGGCTGGCCCCAGCCAGCATGCTCCGCTCATTACTCTCTTGTGTCTTGCCAGGTTGCTCTTGTAGCCATCTTTGAAGGATTAAGCTCTGAGGTGTTTTTTTTTCCCCCCTTGACTAGGAGGAACCGCTGGATGAAAGCTCAGTGAAGAAGATGATTCTTACTTTTGAGAAGAGGTCTTACAAAAACCAAGAGCTGCGGATCAAATTCCCAGACAACCCAGAGAAGTAAGGCCCTACTCGGTTCCTCTGCCTAGCTGCTCGCCCCTTCTCTCCAGCCTCAGCCTTTCTGAACTGTAGATATCTTATCCCTTTTAGTGGGAGGAAGGTTCATGGGAGTAAAGGCACTTACCAGACATTACTCATAAACTTTATTTGAAATATTAAAGATAATTTAATTTTAAAAAATGAGTATTCTGGAAAGTGCTTCTAGTAGCAGGTGCGCTGCCAAAAGCCATCATTGGCAATTGCAGCCCGAAAAGGAAAAGAGCAAGGAATTGGGAGGGCAGTTCTGTTTTATTTAAAACTATATTAATTTCCTTGCTGTGTTCATGATGCTTTAAAATTGTGATAGATGTTTTAATAATCTAAAATGTATTGTCTGTTGTTTATCTGTTGTGGGGGCGCAGATTCAAAAAAAAATGGGAGCTTAGAATGGTCTCCTCAGGCCTTTCTTAGACATCTGACTGTGAGGCCTGATTGCAGAAGTGCCACCTGCTCAGCTGCTCCCAGGTCAGGAGGTGTCCTGGCCTTGTTTGCTACCAGGATGGTGACAGATTTGTTACCTTCTCTAAAACTGTGCAGGCCTACTGCTGGCCGACTTTCAAATGATTGGATAAAGCAAACTTTCTGTAAAATATACTGTTTCCCTTGCTTCCCCTCCTACTTGTCCTTTACATTAGTCTCCACTGCTTTCCTACAAGTCGTTGTCCGTCTGCTGCAACTATCCCTCTGTAAAGTGTTCCCATCGTAGAATCGCAGACAACGAGGGTGGAAGGGACCTCGGTTGGACTGGTTGTGACCTCCCCCTGCTCCAAGCAGGACCAGCCCCAACTACATCATCCCAGCCAGGGCTTTGTCTAGCTGTGTCTTAAACACCTCCAAGGATGGAGACTGCACCCCCTCTCTGGGTAACCCCTTCCAGTGCTTCACCACCCTCCTCGTGAGAGTTTTTCCTAAAACTTGCCTTGCTGTAACTTGAGACTGTTGCTCCTTGTACAGTCATAGCATTGTTTTCCTTTGGATCTCGCATTTCTTGTCTTCCATTTCTCTTCATTGTTACCTCTTTCCCCTCTGTTTTGCCCATGATGCTGTCTCCCTCCAATGACCCATCACTTTGACTTATCACCACATGCACTGACAGAGTAAAACCCTCCTTGCATATGGCAAGAGTTTTGGAGGGTGAACATTTGTGTGTGAATTTGAGGGCGTTATTTTCCAAACGAATAAATTCTCCATCATGTTTTGATGCAGTAATTTGCCCCTTCCTTTCTTCTCCATGCAGCTGACATTTGCACGTGGAGGGAATCCTGCCTCGCATTGTGGGAACTGCCAGCACTCGCTGCACTCAGCAGAACGGGAGGGTCAGATCAGCTAACCACAGGCTCCCCCAGAAGTGTGTCCCCAGACCTGCAGTATTTTGAACACTGCGCGTTCCCTCCTCCCCAGGTTTTTGGGAGCTCTTGTGCTGGGATCTTTCCGCTGCAGTGGCAGCACCCATTCCTCACCTGCCATTTCTTGTCATATTTGAATTGTGCCAGTTGCTGCTGTTGTGTCCTCTTCCATGGTGGTGGGGAAGAGGAGTTTGGCTGGTGTGAAGCCAAAGATGTATTCTGATGTGGCAGACAAAGCCTGTGGCCCCTTCTCAGTTGGCTATAGTCCTGATGCAGGGTGCTGGTGCTTGGTACCACGTTGCTGCCTGCTCTCTGGCACGGTCCTTTCTCCCACTGGTGAAGCGCACTGTCAGATGCCCAAAAGACAGTCTTCTCTGAAAGGCAGATACTGCTGAAAGTGATTTTCCCTAACGGGGTCTCTGTCTGGGTTTTTGGTCTCTCTGCCTCAAGCACTCATATCCTCTTTACGTACTTTGTTGGGGGCTAAAAGAACCGATGTACTAATACATACAAGGCAAATCGGGAAAAGAGCTCTCTCTGGAGACCTTGGCATTAGATGTCTTGTGAAACGCAGTTCTGTTGAGATGGAGAGTTCAGCCCCATTACTCGTTTATGCAGGGTTCTAGCTGTCAGTCTTGCCGAGCAGCTGCACCTATCCTGTATGCTTTTTTTTTTTTTCTTAAACTAAAATATATAACTAGCGAGATGGGATAGGGAGCAGTCTTCTAAAATTCTTGTCGGGCTAATGTGCACGGATTGCACAGGACCCTCAAAACATTTGCAGTGAGATCTGGATCCAGCGACTGACCTTGTGACAGCGTGAGCAGAGCTGGTTGGAAGTGATGCACCGGCATTGTGTCTGGGTGAATGGCTCTTTGTGGGGGGCTAGTGCAAATGCTTTGTCCCCCTGGGAAGCCCATCCGTGTGCTTTTTGCCTGTTTTTCTGCTAATGAATTGTGCTGTGCCTCTGTCTGCAGGTTTATGGAGTCTGAACTGGATTTAAATGACATCATTCAGGAAATGCATGTGATTGCGACCATGCCAGACCTGTATCACCTGCTGGTGGAGCTGAATGCTGTGCAGTCCCTCCTGGGGCTTCTGGGCCACGACAACACCGATATCCTTTTGTGTTCAGCCTCTCGCGGGAGGGCTGTGCTGTCGTCTCCTCTTCTCCCTTTTCACAAGTGGCTGCTCATGTCATTCTCTTCCCTTCCACTCCTCCAAGCTTCGTCTCCTTCTGCTCACCTGGAACCCTCTTTAGCCAAGTAGATTTTTCCGGAGTTTTTCAGTGCTCTTAGCTTTCCTGCCCCATTTTTAATGCAGGTTTGAATAATTTGTTTAATTCTCATCTTCTTTTAAAACTCGCTTTTGGGTACTCATGCAAGGGCAGTTGTAAACACAGAGAAGCAAACCCTGGGCTCCCCTTCCAGGCATTGGCTTTGCCCTTGTACCTGACCCAACCTGCTGCCACTCATGCTGTTCCACCCCCAAAACCTCTTTCAGGCACCTCAGTTTTGATCTGCATCCACTGTCTAATGCCTGTTTGCCTGTTCTGAACTGAAGCGGTCGTGATATTTGCCCCTCAGCTTGTATGCAGACATGACGTGAGATAGTTGGCCAGTATCTTGCCCAGGTCTGTAGATGGTCCAGTAAAAGATAACCCCCCAAATCCCTCACCTCTCACACAGTGCCTGGACCATCATTGCTATAACCACGTTTCCCTCTGGTGAAATTCTGTTCGTTTTTCCATAGAATCTACATTACATTAAACCCGAACACTCCTGAAGTGTACTGACCCCCTCCTCTTCCTCTCCGTTTTGGAGAGAGCATTTGTGTTGTGTGTCCTACTCCCAATTAATAGGGCTGCAATGTCCCCTGGGAAGAGCATTGGATTGGGAGCCCGCCAAACAGGGCCTTTTGTTGCTTGCTGTATGACCTTGGGCCAGTCACTTAATCTCTCTGTCTTTTCCCACCGTTAATGGAACCACATTTGACTCCTTTTTGTCAGCAGCTGAGATCCACAGGTTAGAAGTGCCATGAAATTGCAATCTGTAGTCAGGCTGAAGACTGCCCATTTGTTTTTCTTTTTAGCATTTTTCCTTGCAGTTGCTGCTAGGGAGCAGCGATTCAGTCGCTGCAAGAAGATACAGTGATTAGAATATAAAAACATACTTAAAAATATCTCATTACACTGCAGTTTCCATAAGGGGCATTATTTACAGGGTTGGATATTTTGACTTGCGTCTAACGTAACCTTGATCTTGTAGAATGCTGATGCCTGCAAAACAGCAAACACTGCCGCTTGTCTTATCTGTGATCTATAATGGAAATTATTCTCAAGTAAATGGTTGTTAACAATTTACTGTTGTACAGCTGGAAACGCCTTCCGTGCATAACCAGTTTCATGGGTATCGCAGTTTAATATTTTATACCTTCACCAGAGACTGCAGGCTTTGTGTGTAAAGTGTTCGCAGCACTGAAAGGTTATCTGAAATTTGTCATTCGCAGGGAAAACATAGGCCGTGGGGATTTTGATTGGGATCGGAGGGCGAGCTCACAGTGACCTAAGAGCCGGAGCGTATGGGAATACAGCTTGTTTTGTCCTTCCAGCTATGAAAAACCGTGTCCTGAGGTCACAGTTGCTGTTGCGGGCTTGTCAGTATTTCCACTGCTAGCTCCTCCTTTTTTTAAAAGGTTTGCTACGTGTCTGTCAATTAATTTGGGGGGCAGAAATTTGGCCTGTGAGCTGTAACCCTGGGAGAAAATGTATTTCTTGTTACAGACCGCGCTGAAGTGTGTTCAGCTGTGTGGGAAGTGGAGCACAGTCTGCATTAATGCCTTCCTTGAATGCTGTGTTATTGCCAAGGCAAAAAAAAAAAAAAATCAGAAACGGATAAAATAAAGTACCTAGACCTCGAAGAAACAGGGCTTTAAATGCATGTTTCCCAGGGCCTTTAGTCCAGCTAAGCGGCAGAAGCGTGTACAGTAATGTTCCCAAAGGCAGTGCTAAGCAGATCGGTGCCTACACTTGATTTAAGCTAAATCCCTGGAAGGCCTGTGCAGAGAGCAGGCGGGGAGGTACGGGTGCGTAATCCCAAGTGATTTGCTTATCGGTAAAACCAGTGGCTCTTCCGCTGAGCGAATGCCAAAGGTGCGAGCGCAGGATGACAGGCAGATCTGACTTTAAATCAGTGAAATGAGGAGAGCAACCTTTTCCTGGCCCGCGTTTGCTGGGGTAGCCAGTGTTTTTGTTGGCAGCCTGGGTAGAGGCCCCGTGGCTAGAAGTGCCATGGAAACCGAATTGCCGGCTGTCCACTAGAGGGATTGCTGCACGGCTGCAGCGTAGCCTGGGGGAAGCCAGGCTTCTCCGGCAATGCTGAAAGTACTCCCTGGATAAAGGTTTCCAGTTCTGACGCCTGCCTCGGTGCTAAAGGGGACGGATGAAATTTTCAAAAGCATCTCCAGGAAGCCAAGCCTGACTTTCAAGGAGGCTCCGGTTCTTAAGTCCCTTGGGCACTTCAGAAGCTGGCTCTTGTCTTCAAAAGAGCAGGGCCTGACCTGTTTCCAGGCATCTCTGTGTTTCTGTGTCAGCCCAGCTAATCGTGGGCCTCAGCAGGGCCCTGCCTGCGCTGACAGCCGTCTAGAAACGTGTGCCTAAATCTTCATGGTGGGGAGCAAGTGTCGGCTCGCTTCTGGAGCGCTGCCTCCTAGACGAGGAGCGCTGCCTGCTGCCAGCGGCGTTTGGCAGGGCCTGCCCGTGAGCTGGCTTTGGAAGGAAATTGGCAGTTTTATTGCAGGTTTTCCTGAATCTGGTAGATCAGGTCGTTGCCTGGATGAAACGCAGAAGGGGATCTGTGGAAGGCCCTTTCTTCTTGCTTGTGCCCACGAGCAAATACACAAACGAGGAAATCGGGAGGTTGCTCTTTTAGAGAACCATCAGGAAACAAATATGTAGGACATCTCGAAAACTAGCTTTCCCGTTCTGCCCCAGTGGGTATTGGGCAGGATTGATCAGTGTGTCTGAGAGAATAGGAGAGTGGGTCTAATGAGCTGGAATATATCTGGCTGTACTAGAGAGCGGTGCAGCAGTCAAGGGAGCCATGTGTTATGCAGCCCGTGTTAATGAGTGGAAATTGGGCTGGCAGGATCTTTGCTGTTCCTGTGGGGCATGCGGTTCCAGGAGCATGCCCCTAATTGGAGAGTCCAGGCAGAAGGGGTCTGGCATCATGGCCTTGTTAGCGGGGTGCACGCCACATTGAGTTAGTAAGGGTGTGCAAGTCGCACTATTTTAATGCATTTCTCTGTGCTCTCGCTCAGTCTCGGCAGTCGCTGCAGTGTCAGAGGGTGGGCAATCGGCTGTATGAGTTCTTGAGGCTTTGGTTTAAACATCTGGGGGTAGAAAAATAGCACCAAGAGCAGTGAAATCGCCAGACACAACAGGCACATCACAATGTCCCCGTATTACCCCTGGTTTTGGTAGCTTTGGTGTTCTTAAGGACGGGGCAGCCATGGCAGTGCCTGCCTCTCCCCTGCCCTGATCTAGACCTGCCCCTTGCTATTTTGGTCCTGGCGCCTGAGCAGGCTGGGCCAGGAACAGATCTGTGGTATTAGGGCAAGAAACAAGGTCTCACTTATGATGTTGGCAATCCTTAATACCTCCCACATGTGTCCATAGCTGTGGTGGATCTGCTTCAAGAACTGACTGATATAGATACGCTCCATGAAAGTGAAGAGGGAGCCGAGGTCCTCATAGATGCTCTGGTGAGTACCAGTTTCATGCTGATCAACATACCTTAGAGAGCAGAAGGATACCCACTCAGGGACCACCGTCTTTTCCGTACCTATGGTTCTTGGCACTGCAGTACTGTCGTGATGGTTGTGCAGTACTGTCGTCTGGTGTGGTTTCTTTTCTTTTACTGTATGTCCTGGGATTTGTGCATAGAGGAGGAGGTCAGGCTGAGCAGAAATACACTGTGGAGAAGATCTAGTTGGGGCTGGTCCTGCTTTGAGCAGGGGTTTTGGGCTAAATGACTTCGTGAGCTCCATCCAGTCCACGTGGTCTACGATCCTGCGATGCCCAGCAGAGGTGTGCATCCTTTCTCCGGTTAGGCTTTTTCTTGGTAAATTGCTGCCCGTGCGAAGTGCTGGGCTCTATCTTGTTCTGTAACTATTATGTTGAGATTAAGGGGACAGGGAATTGTTTTTTGGAAGAGCGGGGTGAGAACGCAGCTGCATCTCCTCCTTCGCTCCCTCTTGTGTAGTCCCTATAATGTTCCCTTCCAAAGGTTAATTACAGTGGCCCCGAGCCGAGTTCCTCTGGCTGGCCTCTGCGCTGTTCTTAATTACTGTTCTTTCATGGAAAGGTTGGTGGATGAAAGAAGTAGGAGAGAGGAGCAGGTACAGATGATGTTTTCTCTGAAACACAGTGAGAACTAGTAAATGGAACAAAAGCTCTTGCTGCATTTTCCTTGTCACCGGCCCACTAACAACAGCCAGGTTTTCGAGGTTTTATTGTTGGCTTTGAAAGGAACCGGTTGGTCATCTCCTTGGGAGATGTGAGCTGTCTGCGCCTTTATTTTAAGGATATAGTATAGTCTTGGCAGGCCCCTGGGGAGGTGGTTGCATTACTGATCACAGCGAATCAAGCCTTGAAGTTTCTGTACTTGCTGATGCTAATGGAAACCGCACACAGCAAGTAGGGTGTGAAGTTGGGATGATACGTTAGTTTTCTGTCCTCACATCTGAAGCCGAATGCAGTGCTGTCAGACTCCGGCTAGTACTAGTTCTGAAGTTGGGCACCTAAAGGGCTTGGTCTTGGGGCTGGAGCCTAGTTAGATTCTCTAGAGTCTCATTTCTGCTGTTGATCTGTGGTATAGGCTTGACCACCTCGCTTAGGTGAATATGCCTATCAAAAACCCAGGGTTCTGACCTCTGTTATGACATCCCATGCGAGGAAAGCCGAAACAGTAGTACTGTTCCCTAGATTTGCCTGTAGACATAAGACTTCTGCTCTGTGAAACTGCCTGGCCTTTGGCTTTCAAAGCTGCCCTTGCAGGCCTGGTTTCATCTGCTTCGCAGCCAGCCCAGGGGTGGGGTGGGACTAAAACGCAGGGGCAGCGCTGAGGAGCCGGCGGGACGGGGAGCTGCTTTGGAGCTGACAGGCAGCTGCTGCCCAGTGGGTTTGTAGTGCGTAGCGTTCGGGCAGATGATAAATCAATGCGGGCAGTTCGGGGAGTAGTGAGTGTGACAGGGATCATGGTTTCCCTTCAAATGCTTTTCTGGTTTATCTGACAAGCAAAAAACTGTCTGTTTAATTAAGGAAAACAGGGGTGGGTTTACGAGTTGATTCCTTTGCTCACTCTGGGGTTTCAAAGCATGGCTGTTAATGTCTGCTGGTGGGAACTGTGGTTGCTGGAGTGTTTCTTTACTTCGTACTACCTGAGATCTCCCATTCTCTCTTTCCTCCCACTCCCCCCGCGTCCTTGCCATCCTCTCTCCTTGCCTTCCCGTGACCCCAATGACCCAGGTGGACGGCCAGGTTGTGGCGTTGCTGGTCCAGAATTTGGAGCGCCTGGATGAAGGTGTGAAAGAGGAGGCGGATGGAGTCCACAACACACTCGGTAAAGGGCTGTTCCAGCCCACTATCTCTTCTCACTTTTTTTATGATGGTCCACAGAAGAGTGAACAGGTTTTACTTTTATTTCTGTGTTCAGCCACCACCACAGATGGAAAGGGCCTTGTGAATGTCATTTCAGCACTGCTTTACTTTTGCTTGCTAGCAGTAAAGCCTAAATCTGTTGAACAGATAACATAGTTGGAGAGAGACTCCTTTTCCTAATGTATCTAAGTGAGGGGGCTCTGATGTGTGAAATGCATGTTTGTGGTGCACCAAAAACCATATTTGCTTGTCACATCTGTTCTTTCAGGGGTCATGTTTCCTTGAGCTCCTTAGTTTTTAGTTTATTGTCTCTTGGAAAATTACTTTGAAGGCCTCAGACCTGTGCCTGATTACCGAACACTCCTGTTCCCTTAATAATGTGCAGACCATTACTTGTGCATGTCGTGGTACCTTTTGGCAGCTGCAGCAAACAGCTTCTATGGCAAGTCAGTGTAAGGAAAGCAAATACACAGTGGTCCTCTCTTTGTGGGACTGGAAACAAGGAGTGCTGGTTCCTCGGGGCCACCCAGCTCTCTCTGGACCGCAGTTTGAGAGCTGCAGGGCTGTTTGCTTCCATGTGAAGCATTTCACTGTCTCCCTCTCTCTCAAGCGGGGGGGCTGGGAGCAAACTAAATGCCTCTCTCCGAGAAGCCCTGTTTCCAGAGTGTCTGATCTGTGAAGCAGGCTCTGTCTCAGGTTTCTGCATGCACGCACCCGCTCTTTTGCCATCAGTCCCAACGACCTGCAGACCATTTGGAGCAGTTTGGTACTCAAAGGTGTCCTCATTTCTCTGTCTCCCCACCTTTATGGCCAGCTTGAGGCATGAGGCACTAGAGTAAGGACTCTTGAGGTCTTTGTTAATGTTGTCGTGTGGGTGCTAATTTTTGTAAGTTAGCAATTCCCCAGGGAATAGCACCGGAGCTCTCCCTCGGGAGAAGGGGCGGGTGGCGGGATTGAGGGTGCCCTGTCTGCAGACGGATTACCATGGCTATGAGGGAACTGAGGCTGCTGTACTCTTAGAGCAACTCTGCAGCCTTGTTTTCTAAATGTGAAGGTTTATAAATGAGCTCTGTACCTTTGGAAGGAGCTAGGCAATCCTGGGAAGGACGTGAGAGCGGAGGGGGAGAATTGAGAGAGGAGAGGACTGGAAAACGCACACAAACCACGCGGGCTTGAGCTCTGGTCTCTCTCTGTGTCCGCAGCAATTGTGGAGAACATGGCGGAGTTCCGGCCGGAGATGTGCACCGAAGCCGCGCAGCAGGGCCTCCTGCAGTGGTTGCTCAAGCGGCTAAAGGTGAGCGATTCCCCTCCTGTCCTCAGGTAGTATCAGAGGCATAACTGATGAGCTGGGGTGGTGCCCAGGCCTGATGAGCACCAGCGGTCTAGGGCCGGCACGAACTCCTAGGCTGTCCGGGTTTCGCAGTCCCCCATGCTTCCTTGCTGATTTGTACTACCTGCACCCTGTCTTCAATCATACCAGTTCCTCATGGAAGTGCTGGAGGACAAGCAAAGTAAAACAGCTGAGCTGGTTTTGTCTGTGCCAGTGGTTCCCAGCCTTTTTTTTTAACTTTGGCCGGACAGGAGCGGGACGGGGTGCACAGAGCCAGATGCCTCCCTCCCAGGACTCCCCTGCCGCCTGGCTTTAACCCTGGAAACTCAGCTGTGACCCTGGAAGCCGCTTGCCTGGGCAGACAGACGGGGGTCTGAGCAGGGGGCTTATGCCACGACCCAACAACCAACCCTCTGCAGCCTGGTACTGGCTCCTGGCCTGGTGGTTGGGAACCTCTGTTCTATACTAAAGCCATTAGAGGCTAGGGGAGAAGCTCCCAAAGGGAGAACCAGGGCCTTAACCCCCTTGTCTTGCAGGTATGAGGACTCCTCCACGGGCTGAAATGAGTATAGTTATTGGAAGGGCTCATCAGTTGGGTACCTGCAAAGGAAACAGCAAGATGTTTTCAGCTCTGAAGAGGCTGCTGAACAAGAGCATGGAGTCATCCCCAGGGAGCTGTCAGATGAGGCTCCTTAGCATGGGGGGAAGTGGTGGAGGTTCTTCAGGAAACGAACTAATAGCCTGCGAGTAGATTTTAGTAGTTTGTAATAAATCACTTTTCTGGTGTGAAGCGGCTGAAGGAGCTGTAGCAGTCGAGGCTTCGGTGTTGTGTCCAGAAGATGGCACCTGTGGCTGGAAGGTGCTGCCGTGCCTCCCACACGGAGATCTCTCTCTAGTCAGGAGGCAAGTGAACCACAAAATACATTCCAGTAATTGCAGAAGTCTGCAAATGCTCCTGTGTCCCTTACATACTCGTAAGCAGCAGCAGCCTATAATTTCTGACTGTAGGTAGGAACATAATTATATTTCTTTTGCTTAAAAACAAAAAAAAAGGCAAGCTCATTTTATTCCAGGCAGGTAAGCCTGCTCTTGGTTTTGTAATTACTCTGACATCTGAAAGACTTAGAAACTTGGGAAAGCAAAATAATCACAACTTGGAGTCCCCTGGTTAGCGCAACACAACGTGAATGTTAAAGGCCTGAGCAGCCTGATGCCGGATCCGTGTGTTTTCTCCGTTCTGACATGCATTAATTTCATCTGGGTTTGGGTGAAGTGTGATCAGGCAGCGTTTTCTCTTGCTTACAAGCTGTCACTGTGGAGAGACGCACGCTATTGAAAGCTTGCTCGGTGACCTTTGCTTTTGGCAGCACTTGCCTGGTTTGACTCTTTCAGCCCCGACAAATGCATCCACTTGCCACCCGCGCAATGCAGCAGTGTCGGGTGGGAAATACTTCCCTGGCGTTGCGTGGCCTTTTGGTTCCCTTGCGCTCTGTGTGGCAGCTTGTTCCCTGGAGCAGGTCATTCCAGCTGCTTTTGAGCCGTATACTTTAATCTGTTGAGTGAAGTGTGCGTGCTTCCCTGGGATGCACTTGGGGCTGGGGAAGCTTAAAAGGTATCAGCTTGCTGATGAACAGATGCCATATCCAGATATGTAGCAAGCACAGATCCCGTCTTGTCCAAGAAGAGGTGGGGGATGCCCACCTCACAGATACAGTATTAAGCCAGTGCCTCTGCATTTGGGCAGGGCTCTGTGCTGTTGAAGGCCTTGCCTTTTGCACCAAGAGGTTGGCTAGAGGTCATTAACTGTGCAATGGTCAGTGTGCGCTGCTGTCTTCCAAATTGACTAACTGCATTCTGCCTGTCCAAATTCCCTCCACATGCTGACGTGGGGGTGTTATCTTTTGCTTCCTCCACATAAAAAGAGTGTTGTGTTGCTTTGGCACAGCGCAGGGAGCCTGTATTTCCCAATGGCTGTCGCACGGCAGGAGCAGGTACACGCTGACCCCATCAGCTGCAAGTACTGATAGCTCCAGATGGCTGCCGCGTTCCACCTCCAGTGCCTCTTGTTCTTCAGCAGTGGGCACATGGTTGCAATAAGTGCTGCAGTCTGCAGAGCATGGGGGGGTCTTTCTGAGCCACAGGCTTCATGTCCACATGGCATTTTCCTGCTTTCCTGCTCTTTTTCGTGCTGCACATTATTAGTCTGCAGAGGGCCAAGCAGACTAAGGCCACTGTCCTAAGCAGAGCTAAGTGAGGTGAGAGCTCTCTCACTGACACTGCAAGTCACTCTGCACTGGAAGCAGAGAAACTAATGTAATATTTATATCTGTTGCTTTTAATGTGATTTTTTTTTTTTTTCTCTTACAGAATGGAAGGCTAGTAGCCAGGCAGTCTGGGGGGCTGGGGGGAGGGAGTTAAGCATTAGGTGTTTTTTTTTTTTAAAAACTTGTGGTTGTTTTGCAACCCTCTGTAGCAGTCCGTTTCTCACACAGGCATGTCTGAGGTATAGCTGTCCTGTCGGCTTCCACAAATAAAGCCAGCTGCGTGGTGCCTGGTGGGGGACTTTCCTCTTCCCAGGAAAAGAATTCCAGCTGTTCAGGCAACAGCTGATGCACGGTGCAGACTGATGCCCCAGCGCATGGGCAGCCCGCAGTGTGGCAGTGCAAGCACTTTGTATGCTGTCCTGCCCGTGGCACCTTGGCCCTCGCGCCAGGTGCGGAAGGTCAGCCTTTGCCCCTGGGTAGCATTGCTGTGGTACATTTTATGCTAGTCCAGTTCTTGGTGGAGGCTGTTCACAAGGGGGAAAGGGTGTGCAGGTATGTAGCTGCGCATAAGCTGCAAGTATGGAAAATCTGTCACAGCATGGAGGCTTTTCCCGAGAAGCAGTGGTGGCAGGCTGTCTTGGGAGCCCTGCTTTGTAGTCGTTCTGAGCTGACTGCCAGGTGTACCTGCTGATGGAGGCAGTCGGAGGGATCTGAGTTGATTTCCCGCCCCCTTAAACCGGTGGGAAGAATAAATTTTTTTTCTTGGCGCCGAGACTCTCTGCAAAATTACGGCTGTTTGTGTTTTGTTTTTAAATGTTGCTCATGCATTGCGAGGGATCTGATTAGCACATGCCATAAATCACAATAAACACCCGGAGCAGGGCCCCTGACGGCTTTCTCAATCCGTGTTTCTCCAACAGGCGAAGATGCCTTTTGACGCCAACAAGCTGTACTGCAGTGAGGTGCTGGCTATTCTGCTCCAGAACAACGACGGTGAGCTCTGCCTCCGGTATTGATATTCTGTTAGGATAGGATCCAGGCTTGTTTCAAATCATGACAGCACTCTCCTCTGCCTTTGGCTTCCCCTTGCTTTCCCTCTCTCTCTCTGCAGCTTTTGTACTCTGTCAAGCCATATTGATTTTGTTTGCTGATGTATCAGTGTTAGACGGCTGTAAAATCTGACAGTTAGCTTCATTTTTTCTCTCTCTTTCTCCCCCCACCCCCCTCCCAGACAACAGGGAATTGCTTGGGGAGCTGGACGGGATCGATGTGCTGCTTCAGCAGTTATCGGTGAGTAATTAGCATCCTTCCTTCCTGCCTGCCATCAAGAGACTTGTGGCCTGGACATGAGAGCGTAAAACAGATGCTGGGGGTAGCACTTGTCTCATTAACTTGTAGATGTCAAATCATCATCATGCTTAAAGTAGGTATATGGATATAGAGCCCTATGAACTTCTACACAGCCTGGCCTGCTAGGTAGGTGGAGATTATCCCCCATTTTACAGATGGGAATACTGAGGCACAAGGCAGTTCAGAGCTCAGGTGGCACCATCTGCTCAGTTTCTTAGCCTGTGTGAACTCCCTTCCCCTCTGAAGCAGGCTCGACTGCTGGTCTCTCCTCTTATTTCCTGAACCAGTGGTGGTACAGGTAGGGTGTAGTTCCCCTCAACACCATCTTTGCTTCACTCAACCGTGCTTTTGGTGTTCACTGGCACGGAGCCTTCTGTGTTGTAGTCACGGGAAGCTAGAGGGGCTGGAATACACATTCACTGTAGGATCGGATGGGGGGTTACCTCCTCCCTTTGATTCAGATTACATCGTGCCTCTCACTCCTGCCTCCTCATCTTGTAAATCCTATGTCTTTTGACCCTTCCACTTTGCAAGAACCAGCCTGGGGTTTGCACCGCAAGGAGGAAGGGCTGAGGAGGCGGCCTGGAAGGCCTTGGTTTTGGTGGGCAGAAAAATAAATAGGACAAGCTAGGAGTGGCGTGTGGTTGTTGGGCAGTTTGCTTGGGCAGGGGCCGTGAATGGCATGAAGACGTGTTGAAGGTGCTGATGAAGGACTCTAGAGGTAACGTTTGCTTTGCCGTTCCAAATAATCATTGATCTCTTTACACTGCTCTGCTGTTTATTAAAGAGCTCCTCTGCTTTTCCTCTGGCTAGCAACAGTACCCCCCACTGCTCCATTGACTGGAGGAGCCCCCGGCCGCCTTTCTCCAGCATGCCCTCTAGTCCTGCCCTAGACCCGCTCTGGCTTGTGGGTGGCCTGCTGGGGTAGGGCGTAGCCGGCATTCACTCTGCGTAACAAGGTGCTTAAGGCAGCAGAGGTCTTCTGACTGCATCAAGGGGATGGCTGCTCCCGTTGGAGTGGCAGGCCCATGCCGAGCTGTAGCGTGCATGCTGAAGGCCAAAGCTGAATGCTCTCTAGTGTTAATGTGGACACTGATGCAGAGCACACATGCAGTGAAGTCAGGGCTGCCCTTCCTGTCCCTGTCTGCCTGCAGGTTTTCAAACGACACAACCCCGGCACCGCAGAGGAACAGGAGATGATGGAAAACCTGTTTGACTCTCTCTGCTCCTGCCTGATGCTCAGCTCCAACCGCGATCGCTTCCTGAAGGGGGAGGGGCTGCAGCTGATGAACCTCATGCTCAGGTATGGCTGGCTCTTCCTGATCTCCCCACCCTCTCTCAGCCGTCTCTCTGCCCACGTGCTCTGCTCTGCTCTCTTCTCTCCCCCTCCACGTCGCTTGGGCCTTCTCAGGTCTAGAAATCCCATTCTACTGCCTGTCCTCAACAGCCTCCCCTGTAACTGCTGCAGGAGTGGGAAGGATGCCCAAACCTCTGCTGCCCAGCTGGCTCCATTAGCGGTACCAACGAGGGCATAGATGCAGATGTAACGAGTCCAGGGCACGGCTTTGGGTGGTACTCTTGTCCTCTCTGCAGTGCTCCCCGTCTGATGCTGTCAGATGCAGGACCACAAAGGCCTTAAGGTGTGGAACTCCCCGCTGAAACCCCTTCACTGCTGACTATCTGGCACTATGTGCTTGTGTATCCAGCCAGCCCCTTCTCATCTCTGCCTGTCCTGCATCTGTAGCAAGGCTTTAATTTCACAGTGTTCAGCCTCTTGGCGGATGGGTTTTGCTGTGAAAACTAAACTGAAACTTCTGGGGCGTAGCCTCCAATGTGCACATGGGCTTCGTGCTCCCCGAGCCTCCTGTTCTCTCTCCCCTCTCTGCTTTTACTCCCTATGGAGACATGCACGTTCCCCATGTTGGTCTAAGCACCCCAGGCCTACGTTGCGTGCTGCGGGGCTGTCTGGCTCTCCCTGGGGCTCTGAGCCGCCTGTGGCAGTTGGCTAGCGAATGATAATGAGAAATGTAGTCCTGCGGCGTATGGCCCGGTAACGTGCAGCAGCAGGAAACTGAATAAATAACCAGAGAGAAGGATTATGCAGATAAGAGCACTGGGTTTTCTTAAGGCTAATTAAAGAAAAGCTCCAAAACCAAGGACAAGAGGGAAGCCTCCCCCTGCCTCTAATACTAAGCTGCTAGGCTCCTCTTGCAGAACTAATTACCTGGAGTTCTTGTGCTGTGTGGGCGGGACTTAGCAGGCGGATTTTTAATGGCTTTTTTCCCTTTTTTGGGCTGCGCTGTTTACCGTCCTCCGCTCCGGGGTCCCTGCTGGACAATTACGACAAGGGGAGAATTTCTCCCTGGGCGCTTTTTTTAGTGGCTGTAAAGGAGCTGTGAAGGACAAAGCACAGTTTAGCTGCTAGTGATCTCTGCGTGCCTGGGCCGGCCTCTGAAAAGAGCAGTGGTGTTGGATGTGAGGAGTGTGGGGCTGTGAGGAGCTCTCCTGGGTTAAAGGGTTGCATTCCCTGGGATCACAGGCAGCGCCAGTAAATCATCCTTTCTAGCTCTGGAGTGAAGCAGGGAGGGGACTTGGGGAAAAGTTGGGCTTGTTCTAGAGCGTGTGCAGGGAAGCGGATCCTCGCATCTGTCTAATAATAACTGGGATTAGACCGGCGAGGAGGTGCCCCCTTGAACTGCTGCAATCCAGAAGGGTCACAAGCTATCGGCAAGCTTTGTAATCTGCCAGTGTTGCCCTAGCAGCCTGGATTGACAGTCTGCCTGGTCCTTTAGACTGTGCCCATCCTCAGCCACTGCCATCGGCATCGTTTTATCCTCCGCCACAAGTCTCACGTGAGGGCAGTGCCTGTCGAGCTATCCGCCCCAAGAGGTATTTCTTGCAGATGAGGGTCGAGGGTGCCTATTGAAGCTGTTATTACTGCTGCCTGTGCTCTGTCTCTTCTCGTCCTCCACACCCCTTTCTCTAGCACTCAAAGGAGGCTGCTTGAAAGGAGAAAGAAGACCTAGATCATAATCCTTTGTCCCTCTGTGCTGCTGACATGTTTGTTCACACCATATGTCAGCATGTGCTTCCCAAACGCTCTTTGGGGTAGGTGTTTTTGGTTCAGTGTTTGCAACAATGGAGGAACAGCAGGCCCCGATAACAGCGTGGCCAGGTCCTACCCGCTTGACCACGGGTGACTTTAACACATCGAGTCAGAGGAGCTACAGAGAAGTGTGAAGCCATTTGTGTGCTTATGTCCCTAGCTGGGTCCGGAGCTTCATGCCAGCTTTCTGCTCTGAGGCTGCCACTGCTGGATCTCTGCTTGCAGAGAGGTGCAGGATTGCTTACTGCCCCTTCCTGGGGCTATCGGGGACTCGGCTCAGGTCTGCAGTCCTGGGAGGCTCTGGAGTTAACCCGAGGGTCTCTTGGCTCCTCAAGGCAGTTAATTTTATGGGTGCTGCTTGCTTATTATTTCTACCTGTGAAGTAGATAAAGGCGGGGATGAGCAATACTATTGCTAAGTTCACCTGCACAGATAAAACGGGGGAGCCTCAGAGATAACAGGCTGCACTTCACTCCCATAGCTCTTTTCATATAAGGACTGGAAAACATTTGGCACAGCATTTAAGCCTCTGGGCATAGCAGTGTGAATTTGGGATGGAGGAAATTAATGAGGACACCATCGAGGAAGAGCCGGGGCACCTGCAGCATGGCTGCCATTAGGCAGGCTGGGTAATATCCAGTATTCTCTAATCCTTGGGATATCCACGGAGCTATGCTGAGAAATCTCACAATTGCTTGTTTTGCTCAGACAGTGACGCTGCTGTGAGCTTTGGCTGTGATTTCACATGGTGCCTACAAAAGCCTAGGTCAGCACTGTAAATAGAGCACTAAACTTGCTAGCACATTGTCTGCAGACCTTCGTTAAGGAGCAGGAAAGGCTGGCAAGGAGGGAAGAAGAGAAATGTCTGCTAAAAATAATTGACTGCATCACCCACGCTGAGGGTGGAACATTGTGCATTTCAATCAGCTGCCTGTGAAGATCAGTGAGAGAGACCTGGAATTCTGCCTTTCTTTGCAGTGAAGGGAGTTAATATTTGTACCATAGCCGATGTTTGATTATAGAGATGAAGGGATGAGTAGTTCTAATGGAAGACTTCTTCACTTGATTTGGGGGAGAGGGCGAGCCGTGGGAGTGGAGAGTCCTGGCTCAAATCTTGGTTACTTCTGAACGCATGTTGCACGCGATATCTACTGCTTCCAAGTGCGTTCGGCACGTCTGTGTTCGGGGGTAACTCTCCCATGTCCGGCGCTGCCAGGCTGTGGCCTTCAGCTGAATATTTAGCCTAACAGATAGTGACTCAAGATTCCCATGGATAATAAAGGAACAAAAACAGGGACTGGGCTTATCCTAGACTGAGATTTAAACTGCCTGCCAGGAAGGGAAGCTCACCCCTTGAGTAAATTTGTTTCCCACTTCCCTGAAGGGCTGTGTGCTTTCTTCCAGTCTCATAGTAACAAGTAAATCACAGTTGCAGGGTTGATGTCTCCAGCTAATACATTTTTAAATAAGATATTCAACAGGAACAGGACACATGCTCTAATTAAAGCAAGTGGAAAATGGTTTTCACCTTTTTTTATGTTGGACCTTTGGCTGGTGCGCTTGATTTTGAATAATTAATTCTATGCTAAAATGCTCCTCAGGCTTAGTCGGGTTTAAATGAAAATAAAAGGGCCAAGGAAACAGAGATATGTGAAAGGGTGACTCGGTGGCATGGGGGGTCAGAGCCAAGGTCTAAGGGAGGGTGCCCCAGAGGGTGACCACTGTCGAGAAGACTCTAGTGCTGGCAGTGCCACGACTGGAGGAAAGCATGAAGGGCGCAGGCATGGGTTGTTGAAGAGAAGAGGGAGCAAACGGGGCATGAAGAATTGATGCCCATGAGACTGGAGTAAGTGCAAGGCCTTCGGTACCAAGAGGCATTATAAACTGGGTCCTCAAATTGATGGGGATGTGGTGGTGATACCCAAGGATGTCTGCTGTGGTTGTCTTGCTGTGTGCGGAGAAGGTGGACAGCAGCAGTCTTCACTTGCGGCGTGGCGATCAGTGACTGGAGCCATTGTAAGGGCAGTTGGAGCTGTCATATTAAGAGGAGATGAAGGTATGGATGAGAGCATCAGCAGAGTGCAGCTGGGCCGTGCTGCCCACCTAGGGAGAGATCTGCAGAAAGCAGAAGTGGAAAGTCTGGGAGAGAAGAAGATGGTGGGGACCAAGGCTGCGGGCAGCGGAGAGAGAACAGGGCTCGGAGGCAGGGCAAAGAATTGCTCGGGGATGCACCTGTCCTCTGGGAGCGGAGGCTTGCTGATGTCACAAATGAGATAAATTATCTGCAAGATGGTGGCCACCAGCAGGAGGTTTCGAAATGTCACATTCAATTAGAGTCGCTCCTCGTGAGCAGTTCCATTTTTTACAGGTCAGGAAGTGCTTTATGCCATGCAGTCTCCCCGGCACTGCCTTGAGCAACAGAAATGCAACGTACTCCATAAAGCAACACGGGGAGGAGAAGGGAATTGTGTTGTCACTTTCCTTGAAAACATTGACACGGGGCTTATTACTTCTGTTGTGGAAGCATGTTCTGGCTCGCGGGAGAAGCGACCACCACGTTCCCCAGGGATGTGTCAGGCAGGATCTCTGTTGTGCAGGGAGGAGGAGGTGAGGTTGTCTCCGTCATTAGCCGCAGGTGCTTATGCATGCAGACAAAAGCAAGAAGCCGGGCTCACCAAACCCACGCTGCTTGCACAACAGACCTCGCTCCTCCAAAGCACTTCGGCGTGGCTTTCCTTGACCTGCACACAAACACTTGCTGACTGTGCAGCAGAAGAAAGGGGAGAGTGGGCAGGACCAGACACAAAAGACAAATGAGCCTTTGCATGCATTGCTTCGCAGAGCTTGTCTATAGCTATTTTAAGGTACATCTTTCATGACTATGAAAATCCTTTTATGTTTGGCTGTCCTGTCCTTCCCAATGGCCCCTCAGAAACGCAGCACGCCTCTTCGCTGAATCTCTTTTTAAATTAAAAATTGCCACTTTACACGGCATTTGCCTTGCAGACTTTGACCGTTGGTCTGGCCAGCCTGGCATTCTGCTTCTGAAAGTGGCCTGTCCTTGATTCTTCTTTGGTAATGGAAGGAGGCCAGCATGGTCCGGGGCATGCATGCGGTGCTGTAACCTCAGCGGTGGAGGAGTGGGAAATCCTTGTCTGTCTGGACAAACCTTTTTGCCCAGTGAATGAATGAAGTGCTGGCCTGCAAGTGGGAGCTCTCTGCACAGCGTCTTGTTTCACAAGGTTTTTTTCTGCCTTGCAAGTCAGGAGTCACTACATTTAACTCCTGGATGAAAGGAGGTTTATGGGAAGATGAGGCCTCATTTCCTTTCGGTCCGGAAGTGGCTCCTAAAGATGGATAAAGCCTTGGAAAATGTGAATATGAACCCTGGGATTCTGGCGTAGGTGAATACAGAGTCACGTGGGTCCCCAGGAAACCTGAATGCACAGGCTTTTAGTGCCTGGTCTCTTCTGCTTCCTGCACCAAGTGAAAATAAAAATCCATAGGACAAAAATCTTTCTGGAATAAGCCCGTGCAGCAGGCTGGGGGCTGCTGGGGGCTGTCCGTAACTGTTTGTGAACGGGGTTGATTGTTAGCCCGACCAGGGGGTCTGCCGTTGGTCCACCTGGCTCCGGGCGCGTCTCTCCACAATGTGTGTTAATTCCAAGCAGACCTGATGAACAAGATGTTCATTCAGAGGGGGAAGAGACCCCGGGGCAGGCTGAATGAAAGCCTTACTTTGCCAGAATGGGGAGATGTTTCATGTTTTGCTTCGCATTTATGCTATTGCAGGAGTCTAGGGCAGCTTGACACCTGACCTGCTTGAAGGAATAGCCTGGCCCAAAGCTGGCAGTAAAGGAAAGACGAGAGCTCTGTGCGAGAGGAAGGTGCCGTGATGAAGTTGTGCTTCAGAGCCAGCCCCCCTTTTTAAAGTATGACCGCTCTCTGTTTGGGGATGTTCACATATGCTTGGGTTTTGAATTAGTGCTCAGCTAAAAGATACTTCAATAAACACAGATGAGACTAAGATAAACTACTTGCCCTCCAGTAGAATAAATATTTCAAATAAAATCAACCCCAGACAGTCCAGTCAAACAGCTATTGATCTCTAAAAGCCTGAACTTAAACCCAATGAATATTCCAGAGATCAGCTCTGTGCAACCTGCCTAAATGTTGATCAATATGCAATTACTTCCCCTGAAAACATTTCTTAGGCTGTCCAGCCAAAAAACCTACTTTATTTGTTAGCTTTTTATTACCTTGACCTGGCTAGGGTGGGGGTGGGGGTGGGGGTGGGGAGGCAGGAGGCTGCAGTGGGAAGGGCAGGGAAAAGGTCGAACCTCCAGTTCAGACTCTTTTCAGCGTATAATGAACAGGCGGAAGTTTTTGTCATGGGATAAGATTGAGGCCAAAATCATAGTGGAGATTAACAAACCACCCACAGTTACAGTAGGGAAGATAAAATATTTCAGATGGGGCATATACGTCATGTCCCAGGACTGTGTAGTTGACTTGCGGAGGTTACAAAGGACGATCTCCACTGTTATCCACCGTGGAGCGTCTTGAGAAGCATCTCGTGGTCCACAGTCAGAGACCGGGGCTCAGGGCGATCGCCCAGTCTGGACTGGTAGGTTGTTTGTTCCAGTAAGGCTGCTTCCCACTGCAATCTCGATCCTGCATTACTGAGCTGCAGTGCAAATTTGGGGTACGGCCACAAGGCAGGGTTTGAATTTGGAGAGATGTTCTTGCCTGGCCGTTAGCTAACGGGAGAGGGAATGCATGTAGAGTGAAGTGGACAGCATGCTCAATAATACACTATATAGGTTTTTTTTACTGCCTTCCTCGCCATAGCAGGCGAGCGCCTTCTAGTAGTGCATTAAAGAATGTGACAAACATCTGTCATGTGTTGTTTGTTCTTTCATCCCCTGCCCGGAGGGAGAAGCGTGTGGAGCGGAGCATCTTGCTTCTCTAGGGTTTTTCTTTTATTAAATATACATGTTGCTATACGTTTGTTAGAGGAGGGGATATTGGAGAAATGCTCCCAACCCTGGGAGCAGACCATGGTGAGGTCTGTGAGCAGCTTTAGCATGTGGGGAGTCCAGTTTGCAGTGCTGGACTGGCCTCCAAAGGAGCGTGGTAGACTCCTTTGTTCTCCGGTTCACGTTGCCTCCCGCTAATGTTTGTCTGATGCATTTGTTCTGCTGGCTAAATGTTTCCGTGGCTCCCTTTGCAGTTTGTTTCACAGGTTGGGTTTTTTTTAAAGCATATCCTCAAAGGAATTATTGCCTTATTATGTTTCTGGTTCAAGATGGATAGAAGGTATCTGCCATCACTGTAAATTACAGATATTAAAATTACAAATTCATATTAAAATGAAATAGCTGAAAATCCATCTGCTTACCTCTGAAATCCGATTTCCGGAGGCTGAGATTTCCAGACTACGCTTAGTCTCTGCCAGCAAGAAAAAATTCAGTGATTTTGCTGCTATTAGAGTTGCTAACTGTTGCCTTAGTAAAGCCAAGCTGGGAACTTGGCACGTTACAAAGCCTTTGAATTCTACCTTAGTTGTGTTATGGACTGGTGATGATAAACGACTTTTTGCTGTCATCAGTGTGAGGAGATCTGCTTCTTTAATTGCTGTTTAATCTAAATGGACTTAATAAAAGCTGACTGTGTACTGTGTGGGAACCAGGAGCCCCAGCCCAAAGCTTTAGCAGGTCGATTAAATAGAAGCCGGTAGGGTTAGGCACCTGAATGCACCCTAACCCCCTCTATAATGGGAGCCAAACTCCCAGCTGAGCTGAGGCATGATTTAGTGTTTCCTGGGTCCTCTACGCTGGTAAAAGAAACCTGTTCGGACCGTCGAGGTCCCCAGCGACCCCCTTTTGGAGGACTCTGCCTTTTTTCTCAAATGCAGCTTGGCACAGAGACTAGCGGGAACAGCTCTGTTTCCCGGGCCAGGTCGTGCCAGGCAGGTTGCTCTTCGGTGCACTGTGCGTGCAGGAGCGGTCCTCTCTCTTTCCACGTCCTCCGCAGTGCTGCATCGGAGACTCCCGTTACTTCACTAGCATCTCTTCCTTCCCTGCCAGCAAGCAGCAGGGGTAGAGTCTCCTTCTTCAAAAAAAGAGAGTGGTCTGAAGAGAAGGATCCCACTGTAGGCCCGTCTGGGCAGAGAGGTGAGTTTTCCATTTGGCCCTGAGTGCAGCCCTAGCGGAGGGCACCAGGAGTCCTGGCTTTCATGATGGGGGCTGTTGTCGGTCAGGAATGAAGATGAGGTTGCTAACCGCATTCGCCACCCCCCGAACTCTCTACCCCCTGGGGTAGCAGCGCTTGCTCCATGTATCCCGTCTTCCAGCCCAAGCCCTTCCCTTCCCTTCCAGATGTGCAGCTGTGGGTCTGGCAGCCTGGAAGAGAGGCTGCTTTTGAGGTAGGAAAGCGAGGGATACGTTGCCCTTCGCGGTGACTTGAAAGGGACACGGCTGTGGCTTTAGCACTGTGGCTGGTAGCAAAACAGAGCTGGTACAGGGACTTGGGCACAACTTCTCACTTTTTCCCGCTGTTAATCCCTCCTTTGCCATGCAGGCTCGTTAAAGAAGGATGACTAAAGCTTTGCTCCACCGTTCCCCGCAGCCATCCGCTCCTGAACAGGGGTACTTTGTTTTCACAGAGAGAAGAAGGTCTCTCGCAGCAGTGCCCTGAAGGTATTGGACCATGCCATGATTGGACCCGAGGGCACGGACAACTGTCACAAGTTTGTCGACATCCTCGGCCTGAGGACCATCTTCCCACTCTTCATGAAATCCCCGAAGAAGATCAAGAAAGTTGGAACCAGTGAAAAGGAACATGAAGGTAGGCCTGAACTAGAGTCCGTCCTGTTGTGGCAAGTGGTGGAAGGGGGAGGGGATGTCTGGAAAGCCCGGTCAGGGGCTTATGAATAAATCACCAGTCCCATCGCTCCTCCCCAGCATGCCAAAAGCCTGCCCAGTTGCTTAGCTGCAGTGTTTAACTGTTCATGCAGTCGCTGTGCTTCAGAGCCAGCAGCTCCTCGTGGTTCTGCTTCCTGTGTCTGTTAATAAGCTGCTGTGCATGTGTACAGGAATCTGCCGTTTGAAACTCTGCCTCTTTGATGCAAAACTCTTTTGAAAAGAGTAATGAGGCAACTACAAATGTCAGCTCAGAAGCAGCGTCTTCATGGTTCTGAGCACTGAAGTGTGACTCAATGAACATGAGGCATTGCAGAAATAAACTACACGCAGCTAAAGTTCCTCTCTTTGTTCCTTCTCTCTGCGGGGAGACCTTGCCTTACAAATGCTTCACTGGAGGATTGCGAGACCCCATCACCTGAACCGGGGCTGAGCCAGGCTCTCCCTGCTGCTCGTGTCAATTATACTGTTTTTCTGGATGTGGTAAATAATGGAAATGCATCTTGGGGGAAAATGGTAAATACTGAGCGTCGCCTTCAGAGCTTGCGCGAGATGTTGTAGGTGTCCAGAGGGCAATGGCGATTTGTTGGCAAAGCAGCGAGGATTATGAGTTGGAAATCAATCATAAATGTTTGCCGGTGGCTGGGGGAAGGGGAGGGATGGGGACGGGGGAGATGGCGCAGCAGCAGCATTACAGATCCTCCAAACCCAGAGCTTCTCAATAGAGACGATCTTGGTAATTAAGGAGTAATTGGAGACGTGCTGCAATTCTCCAAAGCCAAACCGAAGCGCCAGTCTGCCTCCTGCGAGCTCAGAGCGAGCCTTGAACTGCTCAGGGCAGAGGGCTGTGCTGCGTCTGGATCGGCTCGCGGAAGCTACGGAGGGGCGAACCCGTGCTCGGTTTGTGCGCGAGTCGGGAGCGGCCTGGAAGAGAAGTGACAGATTCAGTGAGCAGCTGTTTTCCTCTTGAAAAATGGGCCAGTGGTGAGCCGGTAACAGTACATTTGCTTTAGAGCACCAGCATTAGAAATTTGATAACATTATATTAATGAAGGCAATGGCTTGGCAAGACAGCTCCTGGAAGGCATGTTTGGGCTGTAATAGCTGTTGAGATGAGCTCTGCATCTTGAATACAGCAGGACTGAGAGGGAGACGATAAAACAAAGCAGAAAATGCAAAGGCTGCGTGGGGGTGGGGGTGTTGCTGCTTCCCTGGGTCCTTGTGTCTGGCGAGGGAAGGGCACATGCCTGCAGGCCGATGCATCAATTCCTGGCCTAGCACTGACGTGCGCAAAGGACGCCGCCGCAGGTGCCGCGATCTGTTCTGCGTTTGTGCTGCTAGCCTGGCGTGGGTTGTGCGGGGGAAGAAATGCTGCCGGGTGTTGCTTGGGTTTGCAAAATAAACCCGCAGAGGGGCTCGGCGAGGCGCTTGGATGCTGGATTTGGGGGTGGTTTCTTCCCTGCCAGGGAACACAATTTCTAAGCTGGAGAGGCAGCCCAGCCTTGTGAGGAGCGCCGGCGCTTTGAACGAGGGGGGCCTCTGCCACTGACTCGATTTGTGGATTTGGGAAAGCCACCTCGCCTTTCAGGTGCTTCATCATTAGCCTGCAGGCAATACCTGCCCCCTTCCCCAGCAGGTTTCGGGAGCATTGGCTAGGGCTTTTCACAGCCATGTGAGAGCGCTAAGTTCCTAATCATTAGTCATATAATGGGAAGCAGAGTCATGCCCCTGGGAGAGGAGTAGCATTTGTTGGACCCCTTGTTCACATGGTTCTCACCTGTTACTGTGCAAAGGAAATGGGGATGGATACACGAGTCCAGAGGTGGGCTTTTTATGAGAAAAAAAAATCTATATAAGAAACTATTTTAGTAAGTCCAATTTTCTTTGTTTTGCATCACTGGGCAGGTGAGTTATTGAGTTTATAGCAATTTAAGTTAATTGAGATGTTTAACAGGATTCCCCTGGAGCCTGTCGGGGCCATTGTCCTGATGTGTACGCAAGCAGCGGAGAAGTACGTGCCTTCACCTTGCCAAATGTGCCGGCAGCAGGGACTCGGGGACGCCGGCGTGCAGGCGGTTACTGCTAGAACGGGGGCGCTGAATAACTTCCTGTCCGCACACTCATCTCAGGGCTGCGGCTGCGTCTCCCAGTTGAGAATCAGTGAGTCCCAGGTCCATTCGTCCTCTGCTTTTCCTGGGATGACAGGAGTAGGTTGCACTCGGGGGTTGTGTCAGTGGCCTGCTAATAATATTTGTTGCTCAATGGGAGCGGAACAGCCGCATTTTGGGAGCTCTGAAGGCTTCTGGTGCATGGCACGCGTCGACCACGGGGGTGATACCGGAGGCGACAGCTGCTGCGGTGAGAGCTGGGAGCAGGTACAGGAATAGGTCGCCTGTCGTTCGGAGGGAGCGAGGGGAGGCTGAGGAGCGTCGCCGGCAATGCAGAGGAGGGGAGGGGCTGTTGGACTGCTAGTAGCAGTTTGCACGGCCACCGGCGATCCAGCGGTGACAGGTACGTAGGTGTACGGTAGGGCTACCGTTGCCACTGGAAGCTTCTTCAAAGCCGGCTTTGACTTAACGTTTTCTGGCAAGTGAAAAGAAGTGGAGTTAAACACAAGCCCTCGACACACTTCTCTCCTGTTTGTAGGTTGGTGGGCTTCCTTCAGAAACCCTGTGCCAGCGCCACCGCTCCTTCCTCGAGGAGGGTCCTTGAGGCGGATGCAGGACCTGCTGTGTCCCCACAGCCCGGCCTTTCCCCTTTTGCCTTTGCAGTCAAAGCAGTCCTCGTCTCGATCGCGGCAACCTCGCCCACCCTGGTGCCCATGGGGCCACCTCCCCACTTGATACCAGTACAGTGCGGAGAGTCTCTTCTTTGCTCACCGGCCTCTCATCATTGCTCTCCTGACACCTCCTTTTCCACTGCATCCAGTTCACCCCGCTTCCCCACCCTTCATTGCCCCGTCTTCCACCTGTTCCTTTCTTTCCCTCTAACTGTCCGCTTCCTCTGTGTCTTCTTCAATAAATTGGTCAGCTACACTATTTCAGTCCTTTGCTCTATCCTGATTTTTTTTGTCCCCCCGAGTTTTCTCTCCTCTGACCCTTTCCAACTGGAATTGTTCACGTCTTATCTCCCTCGACGCCTGTCCGAAGTGAGCGAGCAAGCTTCGTGGGGCAGGGATTAGATCGCATCTGTATCGTGAGGGGCTTCGCACCCACCTAAGTGCCATAAAAATCCCCCAAGACTAATGCCTAACACCGAGGGGGGGCCTGTTTTCCCCGGGCCTGAAAACTGCAAAGGGGATTTTTCAGCTTTGCAGTAGGAGCTTAAGCAATGAGCTGTGCGAGGAGTGAACAGTATTTAATCTCAAGAATGACATTAAGCCATTTGCGAACAGGCCCTTTCTGTGAAACGAGGATTAAACCGTGTCCCTGCCGCGCTTCTTGCGCTGTTCGGTAACCCCGTAACAGCAGTTTCTGCCCCGCGCACCACCTGCTCCTCTGGGACAGCACAGATCTGCGTTTGCAAAGACTTCTCTCAAGAGTCCTCCTGTGCCGGCGTCCTGTGCTGGGGAGGCAGGCGCAGCCCCGCGGGTGCCCTGGCCTCTAGGACGGTGGTGAGGGGGGCAGCTGGTCCTCCGCCGGTGGTTTCATGCTGCCACGGAGCTTCTGTCCTCGGCCGCTGGGCTCCTTTAGCCGGGCGCTTCTTGACCGCGATGGGAAAGCAGCTGCATCTTGGCTCCGCACAGCCTTGGGGGGGCCTTTTCTGTTCCCTGCCCAGCTTCCCAGAGGGACCTCAGGTCTCTGGTCTTGGGTCTCTGCTGGTGACACGGACATTGTAGAGCTTCTCTCCTGCAGGGCTTGTTGCTTCGGGCTTGGCCTCCTTGGGTTTCAGAGCCCTCCGTTGCAGGCACTGTTATTCTGCATCTGTTTTACAAACATTCAGTACAGTGCCGTAGTCTTTACTGGTAATATTTGTGCCTGTAGTTGCGTGTCTGTGATGTGTCATCGGTTTTCCCTACCCTGGTATCACTGCATCTGTTAAAATAGCATAACATTTAAATAGCTTAAAGAAAACACTTCTTGCTTGGGGATTGGTGAATACAAGACATCTGGAGTTCTTACGTTCCTGAGAGACGAGACTTCAGAAACGCTTTAAACATGTCAAATGCTGGTAGTTACCCTTCCCCCGCAAATGCTTTGTCCAACCCAGCTCGAGCTGGTGCAAAAATGAGAGCGATTCTCCTCCAGAAGAAAATGCACATGGGAACTGCCAGGTGGAAAAGACCTTTTATTTCCTCTGGAATGAGGAGGGGGAGTCAGAAGTGGAGAGGTAATAGTGTTTTCTTACAGTGTTAACCACTGGAGCTTCATCATATCAATTTTCATTAAAAATAAAGCATCGCGGCTTGCATGCCGTGAGCCAGCTTGCTGTAATGCTGTGGAGACTGCAGTTAGCTGAACACGAACAATTGCACGGTGAGGTGTGAGCTTCCCTCATACATCTTAATGGGCTATTAACTTTAGAGCCTCATTACAACCACTTAAATGACAACCCTGTTACAAGGCTTCATTCAGCACTGGCCGACGTAGCAGACACATCCATCAGTAGTTCTTGTCCATCGAGGCCGTACTTACCTGGCATGCCCTGATGCTCCGGTTTTCGGCAGGTAGCTGTTGCCAAGGCACATGTGCCTTCCAGCAGCAGCTGGAGCTCGGCAGGTTTAAATATGTTGTTTCAAAATCTGGACTTTACTTGTGGATGTGAGCAGCGAGGCAGTTGCTGCTGGGACGGCTGAGGCCTCCTCCTCACAGCATAAAATCTTCTTGATGCTCAGGATAGCGATGGGCAAGGCTCCTTCCCGTTCTTTACCGTCAGTGGAGGCACGAGTAACCCCACGTTTCACACGGAAGATTGTACATAAAGAAT